TCTGAGGCTCTCCAGACAGCAAACACAGATACGCACTAGATCATTTGACAAATCTGTTTTGCCAATATGCTATTACAGCTTCGACTGAGGGTGCTCATGCTTGCGTGTAAAACAACAGCTCGATAACTTATACTTCCCTGCTGGTACCCCCCTCCCCCAACACACACAGAACTCCCAACCTAAAACATCTTCCAGCACCCCTGTCAACAAGATTACCCCACCAAGTTAGATATAGAAAAACTGCAGTTTATGTGTCAATATAAGCACTCTCAGAAATAAAGGGACAAAAGCTGTCACTGGAGAGGTGCCTTTTCAAAAGGTTCACCTTTGAACCTTATTTACACCTAAAGGGTGCATTTGAGTGCCTTAAAGTTACATTTTAGCACCTGAAGTGTACCTAAATGATTAGTACCTTTTAAAAGGGTACTGCCCCAGTGACAGCTTCTGTACTTTTTCTGAGAGTGAACCATTTAAAGAAATGTAAAATCACATCATAAAGGTGCATTTGATTTTAGTTTATTTATTTATTTTGTTTTTGTTTTATTGTAACAGTGCCATGCAGCGGTGACCCAACAGAGCGCAACCAACAGGAAAATGAAGGTTTGATTCCCAGTTCATCCTCCCATGATACATCAAGGGAATCTATCCTTTTATGCAAGTTGTGCTGGGATTAGTTATAGAGATCTTTCTCCCACGTAACATATTCCTTTGAACTAATTGAAAACTTAAAAAAAATTGAAAGGAAAGAAAGTGTAAGTGATGTGCTTGCCTTTTTCAATGACATCCTGAATCCCATCTGTAATCACGTCTGCTTTATGTATATCTTGCATTAAGGCAACCCTAGTAAAAAAAGTAATATATTTAAAATACTTTTTTTTTTCATAATAAGTTCAAATCTATTAACATATTTACTGACATATAGCTCGAGACTTACTGATATAAAAATTATAATTAAACTTTATTTGGAGTATCACTTGTGCACAATGCACATTTCTTTATATTAAGCCTAAAATGTGTTTTAATATCATTAATGATTAGGATCGTATGATCTTTGAATAATGTGGGTCTTTAAAAGCAGGATATTTAAAGTGTACCTGAAGTATTCTTGCAATAGTTACACTTTAGCACAATTAAATATACTTCAGTATATCTTTAGTTGGACTTCAGCACTACTTCTGCACAATTAAAGTGCATTAAGTACAAAATTAATTGTTCCAATTTAACAGACTTTAAGTATACCAGTTTAGTATAACAAAAGTACAATTGCAGGGTATTTTTATTAAGTACATAAATATATATGTAAATGTATTTGTAGTATACTTAATAAATCTATTTATTTAAAATACATTTTATATCTATTTTCACTAGGGAATAGGGATGTAACTATTCACTTAACTCATGATGCGATACGATTCATGATAAGATTTTCTTACAATTTATTTTTATTAACAAAATTAGATTGAAGACAAATTATAAATTAAAAGGTCTCCTTTTATTATTGCTTGGACAAAATGCTGAAAATTTCTTTGTGAAATTGAAATATGTCAAATTACAAAACTAAACTAAAAACTAACCCCAAATGAAAAAATAAATAACACAAATAAATGAAATCTGTTCATATAAACAAACTAAGGCTTTCTATGTGCTCTTTCCATTTAAAATTAGAGGCAATCACTAAATTTTAATCATGATCCAAACAAAGATGCAGAATAAATGCAGCATGAGCAGTTTTTAATCTAAATTAGATTGTATCACTCTGAAATTTAAAGCAAAAACAGAATGGTCAGACTTTAGTGTTGTGAAACTATACTTCATAAAACACATCTAAACTAAACAACAGCAGACGAGCTGAATGAGACGCAGATTCACTCTCTGACAGCAGGTGGCGCTTATGGAACAGCAATGATACAGTGCTTCCTGGGTTACCGCTGTAAACAAAGCAGCCCTGCACTTATGAACACTATACAGAGGCAAAATTGAAAGAAAATACCATCTAAACTTTTCTAAATACAGTCACTTCCCCTCAGAGATACATTCATATAACCTCCAGTTGTATCGTGATTCATTTAACATCTCAACCAATTTGAATTGTCACATATTTGTATCGATTTTCAACCGTCTCGCGGTGCATCGTTAATATTACATCCCTCTAGAGAATGCATTATGAAATATACATTTTTCTCTTCATGTGCTTTTTTATTCCCCATTTTCTATTTTACTATAAAGGATCTAATGATTAAATTTTTTTGCATGTAATTATAAAATCATTTATAATAATCATTATACCATGTCATATCAGTAATTTCCTGTTATGTTATAGTATTGTATTTTATATATTACTTTTCATTGTTTGTTAATCTTATGATTGTGTGGTTTCGAGGGCTGTTTGTCCTC